AGACACCTGGGAGCCAGAAATCTTTCTGATTGAGAGGGGGTCAAATACTTATTTCCATCAATAAAATGCAAATCAATTTATAACATTTTTGACATGCGTTTTTCTGGATTTTTGTTGTTATTCTGTCTCTCACTGTTTAAATAAACCTACCATTAAAATTATAGACTGATCATTTCTTTGTCAGTGGGCAAACGTACAAAATCAGCAGGGGATCAAATACTTTTTTCCCTCACTTTATACATACGCTCACACGTACACTCAACACACACTCTCAGCGGTGATGTTAGGACTCATTACAGCTGGCTCCGCCAAACCAAAGAGTTGGGTGGTTCGTTTCGCCAGTGCGAGTCGGCGTTTTCAAGCTGTTGCTGAAAGTTTTTTTGTCACGGAATGTGTTATCTCCGTGTTGTCATAAGTGGGGCTTTCGTCCACTGAGTGTCAACTTACAAATGAGTTGGATCAATGAACGGGCCTCAGGCACGCAACCTGTTCGTGAAGCGGGGACTGGCCGTAAAGTGTTATGACGGCGAGTTGAAAAATAACGTCGCTTTTTTGCAGCACAGGATTATTAATTATTTCATAGATAGGGTCTCACCTTTATTTATCGGAAGTTTGTATCTTCACGTTTACAGGGCATGCATACGTGACGTAACACTCAGCAAGCAGCCACTCAGCCTGTGCGATGGCGCCAAGTATAAAATTGTTAATGAGCCCCGTTGCAAGAGGTCAATTTGTCTCTTGCCTGTGAGCTGCTGGTGTCAAACATTTTACCGTGTTTAACCCGTTCGTGATGTATAACATTTTTCCCACTCAAATTCACGTGGGCCTTTTTGATCAAATAGCTTTTCAATTTCACTTTCAATGAAAACCCAAGGCGACTCATTTTTCAGTCACTACCGTTTATTCGTGTTGTTCAATAAAGTGATTTCTATTTCATGTTACCGGTAACTACCTTGTGATCCCTCCCCCCACACTCCCTCAAACTCTCGAAATTCCTAAGCTTACCCTCCTCTTAAAAATGTCCTACAAAGTCACCGTCATTTATAAACTTGATGATGAAAATGCCCAGAATGAGTCAAATGTGCAAGAGTGACTGGGTTGGTGCCGTGATGATGCAGCAGAGAAGCCCCTAGGGCCTGAGTAGCAATGCAAAAAGAATAGCAATGCAAATTGCAACTCTGATTAGCACGGTTGGCTATGCGAAATAAATTCAACATACATACAAACGAATGAACTCGAGTCAATGTGAATTATCAAGGCAATTTATTCACAGTTGGTAATACCTAATATAGGTTTAATGAGTTAGATTGCGTGAATATAAATGTGTCGTGAAACACGCCACCACCCGACACAGTAAGGTTTGTCACGTAAACAGAACATGCCAATTCATTACAAGTACAGCACACCGGTGTGTTGGAGAGCAAATCCACAACATTTACAATCTGAATACGACGTTTGGCCAGTAATTACAAATAGCTTCATCAGGCGACAGCCAGATTTGTGTACAAATCCTCCTGTTTCATTTCTTAAAGAGGGATATATGTGATGACGTCACTTGTGAGCCCTTCTTGTGCGAAGGGGGAGGGGTGGATGAATGCATGCATATGAATAACAATGGTTATCTATTGCCGGTTGGGTTATTGATATGTTAATCAACGTACATTATGTATGCACATTATTCTTGTACCTCCTGTTGTTTGAGTGCAATAAAATAACAGTACCTGTTATTGTCTGCATACAGGTGATCCCCATTTATGAATGGTGATCTGTATAGGCATGCATTTAAACAATTATTTGAAGATTCACTTCTGAGCAGCACTAAGGCTGTAGCTATCCGAATGGTTAAGATTATTTGTATTGATCTCCATTTCGATAGATTCTCTAATTAATCATGGCCAGTAGTAACTAGTTTTGCAGAGAATGTAAAAATTATCAGAATCAATTGAGTGTCCTTGTTGGCATGCGTGTTCTGCCACTGCTGACAGTTGTATTTGGGAGTATTTCATATTTCTTCGGTGTTCTTTTAGTCTCGTGCTGATCATTCGTCCTGTCTGCTCAACATAGCATTTGGCACAAGTGCAATTCATCGGTTACACACCTTCTGTTGATTGCTTCGTTAATAAATCTTCAGTATCAGATATTAGTTTATGTATTTTATGTACCATGCCAAATCTGACTCGGATGTTTTGTTTTTCCAAAAATGTCACTAGTTTATCCATTACTCCCACAATGTACGGTATTTTTTAATAGTTTTAATTCATAAGACGAGTTGAAACTGACCAAGCAATTCAAACTACTAAAATACCATACATATACTAGCCAGATTTTTTGAAAAACAAAACATCCGAATCAGATTTAGCGCAGTACACAAAATACAAAAACGAATGTCTGGTACTAAAGATGTATTACTGAATCTTGATTTGAAGCTTTCGTGACTGCAGGAATACATACTCGTTGGTTCTTTCGGTAAAGTCACGTAGTTAGAAATAAAATAAAACAAATTACGACGTTTTGGGCGCAACACAAGCATCCGTAATCAGGTGGGACAACCACAGCAAGAAAACATTTGCTAGACCACCCAGATTCTATGGTCTTCCAAAAATCCATAAAGAAGGTACTCCACTTCGGCCCATCGTTTCCACTATCAACTCACCTACCTACAAACTGGCCCGTTTTCTGTCTGATACCTTGCTTCCTTTCACGGGCAAGACTACCTCAGCAGTTCATAACTCAACTCACTTGGTCTCTCTAATCAAGGGCATTTCACTGTCCGCAGATGATTTGCTGGTCAGCTTTGATGTAGTTTCTCTGTTCACCAAGGTTCCTGTACCTGACACCTTAGCAATAATTGAAGACTAAGTCCAACATGAACTGAATACTGATGTACCTACTCTGGTTAAGCCCTGCCTTACCAACACTTACTTCACCTGGAATGGTACTTTCTACAAAAAATGAAGGTACACCCATGGGTTCCCCCTTATCATCAGTGATAGCGAATGTTTTCATGGATAAATTTGAAACAGATACCATCCAGACATCCACCCTACGTCCTTCCTTGTGGAAGAGATATGCAGGTGACACTCTCGTCATTGGGCCACATGGCCTGCCAGCATTGAACCAATTTCTCAACCACATCAATTCCATACACCCATCCATCAAATTCACCACGGAAGTGGAGAAGGATGGTAAGCTACCATTCCTGGATGTTTTGTTTGAGAAGAGACCTGACAGCTCGTTGGGACACTATCTACAGGAAAGCCACCCACACAGATTCCTATTTGAAACCTGATTCCGACTATTATCCGGCACAGAATAATTCCCTCGTCAAAACACTACACCATGGGGCCCACTGCATTTCCGACCAACACCACCTAGCCAGTGAACTGAAACACGTACACCAGCCCCCCAAGATGAATGGGTGCTCGGACCGCATTATTCGCAAAGCTGTTTCTCCAACCATGGAGAAACAACCCCCTGAGAAGCCGATCAAAACCATCACGTTACCATACATAGCAGGTGTTACCAAAAAGATTTTCAAAATCTTAAACAAACACAAGATCCAAGTCCGATTCAATACAGTACACAAAATCCGTGATCTTATCCCATCTGTGAAGGATGTCATTCCTGACATGCAATATCCTGGAGTTTACAAACTAAGTTGTACCTGCGGTAGCGGTTACATTGGGGAAACGAAACGACATGTGTCGGACCGTGTTCGCGAACACAAGGCAGATCTGAAACACGGCACAACCAATCCCTCTGCCGTGGCTTACCATTGTTATACCATTGTGGGCTCGCATGATATTGTTTTTTCCGAGACCAAGGTACTGTGCAAACCTTCCGGGTACTATTAAAAGTTTGTTCATGAATCCATCCAGATATATAAACAGACATAACTTCAACCGAAAAGATGGATAAAAATTGAGCAATCATTGGAAGGATGTTATTAACCAGGTAAAACCTTAACTGTTTATGGTTATTTCCATCGTATCTGCCAGGTACTAGCCTATTTTTCTGAATTAATTTCTCCCCGCATCCTCAGCTTTACCTACTTTCCCAGCCTCCCACTTCCAGCCCCGCCCACTTCCCCCCCCTGCCTCACGATCTCTCTACCCAGAGCGCTCACGCAGCGCCCCCCTCCCCCTACTTCACACCACCCCCCACCCTCTCTCTCCCCCCTTGCTCCTCCCCCTTTATTACCTATATAACCGCTTGCCACGGCAGCTCTCTCGCCCACTTCAGCAAATTTTTTCTTGCTGTGATTGTCCCACCTGATGACGGATGCTTGTGTTGCGCCCGAAACGTCGTGATTTGTTTCATTTTATTTCTAACTCCGTGACTTTACCGAAAGAACCAAAGAGTATGTATTACCGAAGCTATCACCAGCAGGTGTGCAACGGATTAATTGCACTTGTGGCAAATGCTATATTGGGCAGACATGACGAATGATCAGCATGACCAAAAGAACACCAAATCAATATCAAAAACTCCCAAATGCAACTGTCAGCAGTGGCAGAATACGCATGCCAACAATGACACTCAAGTGATTCTGATAATTTCGAAGGTCTGTGCAAAACTAGTTACTACCGGCCAAGACTAATTAAAGAATCTATCTAGCGAATCATCAGATAATATATTGTTTAAATGCATGCCCATACAGGTCACCATACATAAAAGGGGATTACGTGTACACAGACAATAACAGGTACTCATTGATTGCTCGCAAACCACAGGCGGTTCAAGAACAATGTGCATACATAATGTGCATGCATAATGTACCTTGATAATTACCACATATATATATGACGCAACGCGCAATGGATACCCATTAAAATGTATATGCATTCATTAATCCCCTCCCCCTTCGCACAAGAAGCGCTCACAAGTGACGTCATCAACAAAACAGGTGGAAGCTTCATGATGATGAAGCTAGTTGTAATAACTGCTGAAACGTCGTACTCAGATTGTAAATGTTGTGGATTTGCTCTCCAACACACTGGTATGCTGTACTAGTAACAAATCGCCATGTTCTGTTTACGTGATAAACCTTTGTCGGGTGGTGGCGGGTTTAACGACAGATTTATATTTACGAAGCCATCTCCCAGAGGTCCCCAGCGGAAGAACAGGAGGTGCCGAGCCAGCAGCACTCTATCTCACATCTCGCAGGCGGCGGGGTCGGGGTGGGGCGGACGCTCGTTGCAAGGCGCAACGTTGATAAACCTGCGGAAGAAAACGAGCGTTAAGCCGCGCAGTCCGTTGGTACCTGCCCCTCCCATCTTTCCCACCTGGCACACGCAAGCTGAGTCAGCGCAGGGGGGGCACGGCGCGGGGGTGAGACAGAAAGAGGTCCGTGTCCGTGCCTGGACGGGATGTGGCGCCGGGTGTGAACGGCGATGCTCTCGTGACCGTGCGTTCGTTTGTGTGTATGCGCGCGTGCGTCTCACCTGTGACCGTCCTTCTGCTGCACGAACCCCGGTCGCTGTTGTTTATCATACATTGGGGAAGCATCTCCCCCCCGGGGCTGGGAGACCTGTGAAGGAGACCGCCATGAACATCAGCTCGTCGAGAACGCCCGAGGCAAACGAGCGATTCGCTCGCACATCCTAAACCCATGCTCTGGGCTTTACAGCGAACACCTTAACATGGCTGTCATTGCATGTGTGTGTACGCATATGTTGGTACTTGTACGCGTGTGCATGTACGTGCGGAGCAGTAGTGTAGCGGATAGCGCGCTGCTCTTGAGAAGAAAAATTAACTCACATTCATCAACGATACTGTGGCCTTGAAATAAAAAAAACATAAAATACATATACAGTGAGGGAAAAAAGTATTTGATCCCCTGCTGGTTTTGTACATTTGCCCACTGACAAAGAAATGATCAGTCTATAATTTTAATGGTAGGTTTAGTTGAACAGTGAGAGACAGAATAGCAACAACAAAAAAAGCAGAAAAACGCATGTCAAAAATGTTATAAATTTCTGGCACCCAGGTGTCTTTTATACAGGTAACGAGCTGAGATTAGGAGCACAATTAACATCTGAATGATTTAGAGGACAACTGGGTGAAAGTATTGTGGTCAGATGAGACCAAAATGGAGCTCTTTGGCATCAACTCAACTCGCCATGTTTGGAGGAGGAGGAATGCTGCCTATGACCCCAATAACACCATCCCCACCGTCAAGCATGGAGGTGGAAACATTATGCTTTGGGGGTGTTTTTCTGCTAAGGGGACAGGACAACTTCACCGCATCAAAGGGACGATGGACGGGGCCATGTACCGTCAAATCTTGAGTGAGAACCTCCTTCCCTCAGCCAGGGCATTGAAAATGGGTCATGGATGGGTATTCCAGCATGACAATGACCCAAAACACACGGCCAAGGCAACAAAGGAGTGGCTCAAGAAGAAGCACATTAAGGTCCTGGAGTGGCCTAGCCAGTCTCCAGACCTTAATCCCATAGAAAATCTGTGGAGGGAGCTGAAGGTTCGAGTTGCCAAACGTCAGCCTCGAAACCTTAATGACTTGGAGAAGATCTGCAAAGAAGAGTGGGACAAAATCGCTCCTGAGATGTGTGCAAACCTGGTGGCCAACTACAAGAAACGTCTGACCTCTGTGATTGCCAACAAGGGTTTTGCCACCAAGTACTCAAGTTTCAAGTTCAAGTTTAATTTATTAGGTATAGCCCTGTGAGCCATGCGACTCTTAAGTCGGGTGCAACCGCAACAAACAAAATTTGAACACAGAACATCTTAAAGCGACAACGCGTAACAGAAACATTCTGGAATAAACCAGCAAATATTCCACACAAAAAAACACGTATTAAAACGCTGTGTGCAAAAATCAATGTGGTGCAAGCCAACAACAACTATAAGACAATTTGGATTAACCATATGTTTTCGAATCACCAAAATAAAGCTAAGAAAACAATGTAACGTCAGTAATCATAGGAACTGTGATTTTAAATTTAACAATAAACGACATATATAACACGGACGACAAAAAACTGCAGCCATAGCTGGCAGCACGACACTCCCAGTGTATGATGTGTGAGTGAGTCAGCAGCAGAAGGGTCAAATACTTATTTCCCTCATTAAAATGCAAATCAATTTATAACATTTTTGACATGCGTTTTTCTGGATTTTTTGTTATTCTGTCTCTCACTGTTCAAATAAACCTACCATTAAAATTATAGACTGATAATTTCTTTGTCAGTGGGCAAACGTACAAAATCAGCAGGGGATCAAATAATTTTTCCCTCACTGTATGTGTAATCGGCGACGTTTCGGGCAATGGCCCTTCTTTGTCAGAAGGGGAAGCTGTGCAGTCCGCGAAAATCTTCATATCGGCCTAGTGGTTGGAGGGACAAAAAAGTTTGAGAAACACTACTGCAAGAGATACAGAGAGATATATTCACCATCTTGAGAGGCGGAGGGGCACAAGGGTCGTCGTAGAGGAGGCCATCATCATCTGTATCGATGGGCGTGGAGTCCGTCAACATGTCAGACTCGGACTGTGGCAGGTAGCCACTGCTTCCTTCGCTGCTGGCGGCGCTGCTGCTGTTGCTTTTGTAGATGCTGCGACCGCTGCTGAGGCACATGCTGATGCTGGCGAGGCTCGTTCTCACACTGTTGCTGTTTCTCTCGAAGAGCAGCGCGTCCGCAGTGGGGACGGGGAGGAAGCTCATCGCCTCATCCACGAGCTCGAACAGCTTATCCCGGTCTATCCCTCGCGGGGCGGTTGTTTCTGCGACAGAAGGACCCCCCCCTCGTGACTCACGCGCACTCGCAGCGCCCGAGAAGGTGGCATCGCACAACTACTTTCAAAGCCGTTTGGACGAGAGCCTCTGTCCGCATTAAAGGCACTGCTTCAACACGTCTTACCTTTAAGGGTGCCACGGTACCGAGATGTTAACTATCTCACCTGGTATACAGGTGGTGAAGAGTTCGATCCCAACCCTGACACCTGTTGTATATTGGGAATTTGCACGTCTCTCTCCCTGTGGTCACGTATATTTTTCTCACGGTCCTCTGGTTTTTCCCTCCACATTTAGAATTAACATCACGTGTTTAGCAACACCTTAGACCGGGCGAGTCTCTCACCGCGTGCCCCCCCCCCCATCCCTCGCAGCCATGCCGAGCTCAATCCCCTCACCTGGTCTCCTACCCTTGACAGGCAAGTCCATCGTGCACCTCCATCTGCTGAGCGCCTTCTTGACATCTTCCATGCTCCCCTTCTCCTTCTCCTCCTCCTCCTTCCGCTTCTTGGCGGCATCGACCGCGGCGGCGTCCCGCCACAGCTGCTGCAGGACTTGGCGCGCCCTCACCTGGGTTTTGGCGAGCTTTCCTTGAGCCTTGAAGAGGGCTTTGTCCGCCGCCGACCGACGCGACCCCTTCCCACTAAAAACGCCGCAGCAGAACAGGCTGCTCTCCTCCTTCTCCAGCAGGCCGTCGTCGGGCGACAGGTTGTAACGCGTCGCGGTCGGAATGTGATCAATATCCACTTGTCTGCAAAGGCAGACGGAGCGTAATTTGGGGTCACAGATGCTCGCAGCCGTCGCGCCAACAGTCACGAGCTTCTGTCACTTTGCATTCACACTCGAGTCAAGTGAAATCAGAATCTTTATTAATATTGGAGGAATCCGATTAGGTATGAAGCTATTTTGGGGCCGTCCATAAATAATGTCACGCACAGAGGGGGGGGAGGGGGGTCAGACATTTGTGACGATGTGTGACGAGGGGGGGTAAGAGAAATGTGACGTCACATCAAAATGCGCAACTTTAAATAAACTTAATTAAATATAATTGTTATAACAACACTAATTTTGATTAATTTTCATTATTAACTATTTGATTATTTAAATTGACTAAGGTCACCTTTTATTTATTCCATGAAGGAGCATTTTGCTTCTCCATGGGAGAATGGAGAAACATACATTTAGAAAAAAATTTGAATGACTGTTATTAAACATTTTTATTCCAATGATTCGACCAGGGCTTTTCATTCTGTGGAATCCATGTGAATGTTTTAATTATACTCTCCATTTTGCTTCGTTCTACTACTAAGTTTCAAGTCTATTTTAAAGTTATAATTACTTTCAATTTTTTTATAATTATAAGAGAATTTCAAGAAATATTCTGAACATCTGCAGTTTCATTTAGACGTTGAATATTTTCAAGTGAATTTTGTGCTAAATTTCAGCTTTCAAACGCCTCCTTTTTAATACATGTTTTCGCCTACAACATCAGAGTGCAGCGCCACATTAAATACGTGCAACAATGACAATAGTTTAAAGTGATTTGAAGCATGTTTTATTTTCAAAATGTAAATATGGTTGGGGGGGGGGGCAGAGCCTTGTGACGTCATATTTGAGGGGGGTATGACTTTTTGTGACGCCGTGTGACGAGGGGTTGTGTGTTTCCCCTCTCTCGTGAATTTAGCTCTTCTGTGCCTGGTGGTGGCTGCTTGTGTTGCAACCGAAACGTCGTACGCTATTGTGTTATTTTATTATTTCTTATTTATACGTGACTTTACCGAAAAAAAACAAAGATTTAGGGGGGGTCAAAAATCGGCCAAAATCGCGTGACGTCATTTATGGACGGCCCCTTTTCACAGATGTCTAGTTGGGGATTGGTCAAAAAGTTACAACAATACAAAAACACGATAGGAGTGCAGAGTACAGGAAAGGTAAGCAATTCACTTCAAAAATATATACAGTAGAACCTCGGAGATCGAACGCACCAGAACTCGAACAAATCGGTGTTCGAACGATATTTAGTATTTCCCAACATTTTTTGCCCCGGAAACCGAACGAAATTCGGAGGTCGAACGGCCAATCGCGACTTGAAAGAACCTGTACGGCTGAGAAGCGTATGGCCAGCAGCGTGCATGACGCTTGCCCAGACAAACAGGACTCCCCTTCCAAACAATGACACCACCACCTCCTCCTCCTCACCACCTTCCACTCAAGCCATCAACTCTCCTTACTACAGGTAAAGTGAAGTTCAATGTTCATTTATTTAATTTATTCCATATACTCATTCATTTATTCCATTTATTTATTGTTTCTTGTTTTTTTGGTATGATTTTATGCATGTAATTACTGTAAACTGCGTGTAAAAACTGCTTTATAATGAGAGATTTCTTGTGTCTGGAACCAATTAATGTCATTTACATTAATTCTGATGGGGAAAATTAATTCGGTGTTCGAACAAATCGGTGTTGGAATGGCCTTCTGGAACGAATTAAGTTCGATCTCCGGGGTACCACTGTACAAATGAAACTCAACTAGGTTCATGCTACCAGCTAAAGCCTACTGAGCTATTAGATTGTTTTCAGAAGCAAGATAGCCACAAATGATAGAGGGGGCCGTCGGGATGAGAGGGGATGTCGGCAGGAGGTGTGAATGAAAGGGAGCAGGGGATGAGGAGAGAGCAGCGGATGAGGAGAGAGCAGCGGATGAGGAGGAGAGAGCAACGGATGAGGAGAGAGAGCAGCGGATGAGGAGGAGAGAGCAGCGGATGAGGAGGAGATAGCAACGGATGAGGAGAGAGCAACGGATGAGGAGGAGAGAGCAGCGGATGAGGAGGAGGGAGCAACGGATGAGGAGAGAGCAGCAGATGAGGAGGAGAGAGCAGCGGATGAGGAGGAAAGAGCAGCGGATGAGGAGGAGTGAGCAACGGATGAGGAGGAGTGAGCAGCGGATGAGGAGAGAGCAGCTGATGAGGAGAGAGCAGCGGATGAGGAGTGAGCAGCGGATGAGGAGGAGAGAGCAACGGATGAGGAGGAGAGAGCAACAGATGAGGAGTGAGCAGCGGATGAGGAGGAGAGAGCAGCGGATGAGGAGGAGAGAGCAACGGATGAGGAGAGAGCAACGGATGAGGAGGAGAGAGTTGTGTGTGAAGGAGGGATTGCCCGTCTCCGTGTGTTGGTGTGGAGTGTTCGCTCCCAATAGAAAATCAACTTGTGTCTACCTTCTGTGTCTATGTTGTGTCCCCGTGTGCCTACATTGTGTCTATGTGTCCGTGTCTCCCTTCTGTCCAAGTGTCTCCCTCACGGTTTGTATAAATGTTTGTCCCTATGAAAGCAACGACCGATCTGACGAAGACTCGGCCACAAGTACAGTCGGCGTGTGTAGTGTACAGGGCCGTCTCACTCACCCACTGCACACATGTCACAGCCGTCTTTGTCTCTCCCCAGTGCCGTCTCACACTCACCTCGGAGATGTTTCCATGCTTCGACCGTCGCGGCAGCAACTCGGCGAGAAGGTTCTTCACTGAAGCTGGGAGAGCGAGTCGAGTGAGAGGGTCTCAGAGAGAGGTGAGTCTCGGGGTGAGTCTCGGAGCGCACCTACTGTACCGGGCGACTCCACTGTAACATTACGATCGGGCGGCAGTTGGTCGTGACGTCACGCGACGGTGGGCGTGGCCTGTGTCTGTAGGGGGGAGGGGCGCAGGGGATGGGGCGAGAGGCGTGCGGGGCGGGGCTCTCCAACGGGCGATGCACCAAGCGCCCCCAACAGCGAGTTTGTGTTGTTGTTGTTCCATAACAATAACACGTGTTTGTGTTGTTGTTCCATAACAATAACACGTGTTTGTGTTGTTGTTGTTCCATAACAATAACACGTGTTTGTGTTGTTGTTGTTCCATAACAATAACACGTGTTTGTGTTGTTGTTCCATAACAATAACACGTGTTTGTGTTGTTGTTGTTCCATAACAATAACACGTGTTTGTGTTGTTGTTGTTCCATAACAATAACACGTGTTTGTGTTGTTGTTGTTGTTCCATAACAATAACACGTGTTTGTGTTGTTGTTCCATAACAATAACACGTGTTTGTGTTGTTGTTCCATAACAATAACACGTGTTTGTGTTGTTGTTCCATAACAATAACACGTGTTTGTGTTGTTGTTCCATAACAATAACACGTGTTTGTGTTGTTGTTGTTCCATAACAATAACACGTGTTTGTGTTGTTGTTGTTCCATAACAATAACACGTGTTTGTGTTGTTGTTGTTCCATAACAATAACACGTGTTTGTGTTGTTGTTCCATAACAATAACACGTGGTTGTGTTGTTGTTGTTGTTCCATAACAATAACACGTGTTTGTGTTGTTGTTCCATAACAATGACACGTGTTTGTGTTATTGTTGTTCCATAACAATGACACGTGTTTGTGTTATTGTTGTTCCATAATAATGACACGTGTTTGTGTTGTTCCATAACAATAACACGTGTTTGTGTTGTTGTTCCATAACAATGACACGTGTTTGTGTTATTGTTGTTCCATAATAATGACACGTGTTTGTGTTGTTCCATAACAATAACACGTGTTTGTGTTGTTGTTCCATAACAATAACACGTGTTTGTGTTGTTGTTCCATAACAATAACACGTGTTTGTGTTGTTGTTCCATAACAATGACACGTGTTTGTGTTGTTCCATAACAATAACACGTGTTTGTGTTGTTGTTGTTCAGGCCACACGGGGTCATTGTTAACGAGTGGCGAGCCTCTTTGTTCATTGTTCTTATGCACGAACAATGCATCAATAATATAAACTTTAATTGCACCATTACTATAAATTCCATAACATCAGAAACAGAATCTTTATTGAGGCTGGAGGAATCCGATGAGCTATGAAGCTCTTCTTTACAGATGTCCAGTAGGGGCGGGTCACATTTAATTTCAGTTTTTCAGTTTTCAGTTTTCATTTATTTGGTATAGCCCTGTGAGCCATTCGGCTCTTGAATCGGGTGCAACCGCAACAAACAAAAAAAAACAAAAAACAAGAACAAGAAAACATCTTAAAGTGACTTTGTGTGACTGTGCAAACAGAAAATCCAGGAAAAAACAACAAAATATTCCTGAAAAAGCACCGTACACCAACGCTGTGTGCAAACATCCCAGTGGGATGCAAATCAAACAACAACCACAAGCCAAACCAAACAACGTTTTAGACCACCAAAATAAAGCCATAAAAGCAATGTAACAGTGATCATAGGAACTGTGACCGAATTTTCACAATAAACTACATAAATAACATGTAACACCAAACCCTAGAGCCATAGCTGGCCGCATGAGTCGCTCCACAACAACAGGAGCATAAGTCGGAGTATCAATTTTTTCAATGCACCTTTAAGATCAGCACACTAAATCTAAATACAGATCATACTTTGCAGCGGTCATCCGGAGCGAAACATTTAATTTTATTTTAGGCCACTGAATAGTAGTGGCAGCTAGGGGTGTACAACACCTCTAGAGTTGTACTCACTCCACTCACTCACTCCACTCACTCCACTCATTCACTCACTCCACTCATTCACTCACTCCACTCATTCACTCACTCCACTCATTCACTCACTCCACTCATTCACTCACTCCACTCCACTTACTCACTCTACTCCCCCCCCCCCCCACTGCTGGCCCGTCATGGTCCCCACCCGCTCCTGGTCCATCATTGCCCATGCACATCCACCGTACATCATGCTCATTTCTTCTCTAATTCCTTTGTCAAAGCGTTTTGCTACCTCCCACACAGCTTAAAGGACGCGACCTGGGCTTGGCTGTTTTCACTCCAACGCTGTCCTCATGACAGCACGGTCCCTTCACCTGATGAAGGCCACTTGTGTTGTGGCCGAAACGTCGTGATTTTTGTTATTTTATTTTTTACCTACGTGACTTTACCGAATAGAACCAAAGAGTATCACATAGGTAGTAATTCAAGTTGCAGTTTATTGGCAATAGCATTCCAGACCCTGGGGGCATCAATAGCAAAGGCCCTTCCTCCAGTTTTTGTACGGCAATAGTGAATGTGAAGCTGGTAAATGAGCGAAGACCTGAGGTCAAATTTGTTCTTTGAAACAGAAGAAATCCAGTAGGTAGTCTGCGGATTTTTTAGTAAGTACATCGTGAATAAATAAGATCTGGTGCACAAACTGTCGAACATTAAGAGATGTTAAGTTGACCCAATGTAGAGATCACAGTGGTGAGTCTAATATGGGCAGTTCAATGCAGATTTTAAGGCCGAGTGATAGATGGAATCAAGCTTCTTCAGTACAGTACTTGGGGCTGATTTATACACGATGTCACAGTAATCCAGTAGAGGCAGTATGGTAGCTTTTATCAATTCCAAACGGAACATTGGGGGTTGGCAGTGCTTGTGTCGATACAGAAAACCAATTTTTATTTTTGTCTTTTTACCAATATAATAAATGTGATCTTAAAAAATCAGTTTTGAATCCAGGATGACCCCAATATACTTATAGATCTTGACTTGCTCTATTTGATAATTATTTAAGGAATGTAATTGGGGAAAAATAACTTCCTGCTTTAGTCCTGGTGAGAAGCATAGCACCTTGGTTTTGGAGGTATTCAGGACTAGTTTAAGAGCAACTAGCTGATGTTGTAGTTTGTTGAAATCACCCTGGAGCTTAGCAATCACGTCATCCGGAGAGCGGCCAGCAGTAATCAGTATCGTGTCATCTGCAAAAAGATTTACCCTGGAATGATCCAGGTCAGTGCCCATGTCATTGACATATAGAGAGGGGGCCAAGGATGGAACCCTGTGGAACCCCTTTTGTTATCTTAACACTGTAAGACCTCCAACCATCTGTGAATACAGTTTGGGTGCGAGAAAAGAGGAATTTTTTTTTACCATTTTACTGCGTTTTTGGAAAAACCGAAGCAACTGCTATCAATACCAGCAGGAACCCGCGAAACTTCGGCGAGGATTTGGGCAGTCCTCGATTTACGAAGGGAACCTGTTCTAAAGACATACAAAGAGAAAGACAAAGATCCCCCGTGTAGCCTTGATAGATTGTCGGGGCAAGTGCTGTTAGTGAGCACCTATGAAGGCCGACACGGCACACGAGTGGGTGGGTGGCCAGTACCACGCCCGGCCACCTTTGTCTCCCCAGTAGCGATGTTTAAACACCACACCAGCTTCTCATTTCAGGCTGAGTCGACCAAAGGGGAGGCCCAGGACGCATTCAGATAATCCTCACTGGTGTTGGCCGTGAGCGGGATTCAAACTCGGGTCGCCGGGTTCGTAGTGCAGCGCGCTAACGACTACACTACCGTTCCCGACCCAACTTTCACGTACACGCAAAAAAGACAAAGATCCCCCTATAGCCTTAACAGACTGTTGGGGCAAGTGCTGTTAGCGAGCAGCACATCTGAAGGACCGAATGGCACACGAGGAGGTGGGTGGCCAGCACCACGACCGGCCACCTTTGTCTCCCCAGTGGAGTTGTTTACACACCGCACCAGGTAGGCATTTCAGACTAAGTAGACCTAGGTGCTCGGGGATAATCGTCACAGCTGTTAAGGCACATTCACATGCACACAGACAAAGATCCCTCACATAGCTTTAACAGACTATTGGGGCGAGTGCAGCTAGCGAACAACAATGAAGGCCGACACGGCACACAAGAGGGTGGGTGGCCAGCACCACGGCGGACCGCCTTTGTCTCCCAAATGGCGGTGTTTACTGGTACTCATTTTAGGCCGAGTCTTAAGTGCTAGTGTTCGTAAGTCAGGTGATCCTAAGTCGGGTGTTTGTAAGTGCAGGTGTTCGTAAGTGCAGGTGTTCCTAAGTCGGGTGTTCGTAAGTCGAGGGCTTCCTGTAATTTTCATTTCACAGGTCCAGCTGATTTTAACCAGAAACCGATAACCTATGGCACTGGTAATGACCTATAACAACTGCATATAGCCTCTAAACTAGATTAAAGAAACATCTGTGGTTCATGTGGTGGATGGAGCTGAACAGGGCCAACTGGTGGAGGGGCGAGGCCAAGGGAAGGAGTGGGGACAGCCTCTGGAGAGAGAGGCAACAAGGGAGACACGTGTGTGAGTTATGTCACAGATTATGAATCGGCTCACATAAGCCGGTGTGTTTTCGCAGCATTAATTTGAGTAGTTCTCAACGTACAGAGTCGAAAGATAACTCATTTTGACCGTATTAATCCAGCTGGCTGTGGTATTAAATGTGAACTTTGTACAACGTATGAATTTTATCTCAGATTAAAAAATATATAATCCAGTGCGTGACACAGGTAGGGTGTTTGATGGCAATCTGAAACACCCACCATAATCATCCATGGGGGTCTTTGGAATTGCACATTGCCTATGTTATGACTCTTGACCTAGATAAAAAAAAGCAAGTCACGTGCTGCAGTGCAATGACTACTCAGCGACAATTCGTAAATAACAAACTGTGGGCTTAAAAGTCTTTATTTTTTAATACGCGACATTGGTCAATTGCTCTTCTTCATAGCGCGTGAAGCCAACACGTGCGTCAACAACATTGCCGCAGCACCCCCTGCTGGACTAAACTCGCTACTGTGCCGCGGTGACAATACTCATTAGACGGCCACAAGCGAGTGGTGTCAAGTGTGATCATGATGATTATTATGAGGCTTGTTTACCCAGGAAAGCCTCACTGCAGGCGCGACACGTCCATGTAGGCTATCTAGGCGGTCGTCTAGGGCGTAAAGTTAAGTGGGGTGCCAAATTCGAGGAAAAAATAATTTCTCAACATTTCTGACGATTGATTGGACAGACGGACAGACAACCCGAATAATTATGCCTCTTTAAAAAACATTAAACGTAAAATAGGGAAACATGTTTCCCAGTTTACCAAAAAACTCAGCCTCGATCTGCCCCTGGGGTTTGGGGGCGCCGATTGCTGGCAGCAGCGGGTCCAGGGCCGCCGCTGCCTCACTGAGTGAGCCTCGTGGCTCTTTTTCAGGAGGGTCCTGCCAGTTTTCACAGTAGGGGGTGGCTATGTATAATCCCAATTGAGTAATGTGTACTTTATATCAGAATACATTACAGTACACTATACCATTTTGCGTGAAAACTCGGGCCCATTATCTTGAAGTTATCGGGGGTGGGGCGTCTTTGCTTATTAGCATCTTTAGTATCTTGCGATTCACCAACATTCGTTGGGGCAAGCCTGACTGCTGATGAGACGCTGAATGTCGAAGCGAGCCCATAGCTTGCTTTGTCTTGAACTAATGCTGCTGACATTATGCACTCCAAGAAGACCGTGGGGCTGATGGGATGAAAAAAAACATTGATTTTGTTGTTTTATGCGATGAGACAGATACAGGATTGTGAATGAGATGTGTTTTTTGTCAATGTTATGGACGAATTGGTGAGAATGGTGTGAGTTTGTGTGCGAGTGAATGGCAAATGCCTGGAGTGTGTGGTTCGGATCAGGTGAGTGGTGCGTGGTGGTTGATGAGTATATCATGTGTGTGCCAGGTGAATGATATCTGGTGAGTGGTGAGTGTCCGCATGATGAGCGGTGTCTGGCGATGGGTCAGTTGTCATGCATGTGAGGTCACGCCACCTTATCCGTCCTCTACTGTGTGTGTCAATAATAACAATGTCAACTTGCAACACGCCGCTACCGCACATCACTCGCTCGCTCTCGCAGAGAGGACAACGACTCGGAGGCGCGAGGAGGAACCACAGATGAGCGGGAAGGCAGCAGCCAGGCGACGAGTCGGCGCCAACGATTGCCCAAGCTCTGCGGTCCTTTACAGTTTGAGGTGGTGTGGGCCAATTAATGTGGGAGGAAACCGGAGCACCTGAAGAATAACTAAATAAAAAAATGTTTACCAGGTAAAGCTAAGTCAGCTATACAGCTATTTTTTTCAGAAACGACCTGGCCCCAAATGATAGCTCAACGAAGTGGCTTATCTTGTGGAAATTTACAGCAGTCAAATACTCAAAACGCTCGTTTATTCTGTATCTGAGGAGGTAAAAACCGGAGGACCCGGAAAAAATCCACGCGACCACGGGGAGACAGAGACATGCAAACTCCAAATATACAGCAGGCGTCTGGGTCGGGATCGAATCCACGACCTCCTGTATACCAGGCGAGGTAGTTAACATCTCACCACCGTGGCGCCCATGCGTGCGAAGGGGACAAACACTCAATCCCATGCAGTCCACATTCTTCCTTTACCGCCTTCTCCTGGCATAGCCAGAGCATGGCACCTCCTCTACGCCCACGGCAAGGGAGTTTCACAACATCGAAGTGCGGTGATCCACCGACCCTCGCTGCTGCCTCCACAGTGCAGCAGCCACGTGCAGCAGCGTAGCCACCAGCGCCCAGCTTTTGTTGTGTGCGTGTGTACACAGGAGACGGTAAAAACAACGAGGCATGAGCAAATAATGAATGAAATTGTAAATTCTGAATCGTGACGAATTAAATTACTGGTGGGCTACATAACTGCGTCCCTACGAACCATCCGCCAGCAGCAGGTCTAGCGATGTTTTCAATCTCAGATCATTCTAATGTTTTACATTTCCATGCATTTATTTTCCTTCTCTAGCACGCAGATGCTGATACATACAGAGATCATATGTCATTGTCTTCCTCGTCCAAGTATTAGCTGTACTCATTTGATATGTCGGTGTGTCTGAGCCATACGTCACAGCAGGTGATAGATGCACCGTTTGTAAACGTGATTCCCTGAGCACATAGCTATGTTGATATTCAGAAGCACTCCGATCTAACGTCGTCCCCCTCTCTCATGTCCTGTCTATGATCCAGGTCTGCCTTCAATAACTCCCCTAGGTATACGTGTGAGCATTGCATTTTCCAGTTCCTCCAACATTGATTCCATAGGGAGCTACAATGACTTTACAATATTTTTCCACAGAAACTTTCACCACTCTACATGGTCAATAGGCCTGATTAGGTACGTCTTCATGCTAAGTATATGGAACAGTATTTACATGAGGTGGATGTGACTGTGATTCTCGTATTGTAAAATGTTTTAGCACTAAAGTCAGGACTGGACTTAGGAATGGACGATCGGGGCGGCTACTCATGGGCGAAAATTTGTAATGGAAAATAATGAGGGCATCGCCATGGGCAAATAGGGGTAGAGAGAAAGACACGGAGAGAAACACACACAGCGAAAGATAGACACAGAAATAGGCAGTGAGAGACATAGGAGTACAGTGAGAAACAAACACAACAACAACAACCGCCATTCGCAACTAAGTGGCGGTGACGTCACCACGACGCTTGTGCCAGGCTATGTGCACCTTGAGGCCACGTGAAGTGTCGAAAGCCCGCTGGCAGGAGGTCACGGGGCCGACCTAGATGCCACGGGTCTACTGACTGAGACGACTGGCTGATGCACCACCTGTGCCCCCTACTGTGCCAACCTGCTGTGCTTTAGCCACCCGACACTCCGCTCGTTGTTGTGAGCGTCGCTCCTCCGCCCTCCGTTGTTGTTGGAGGGCGACTGCCTCCAACTGCCCAGTAGCAGCGTCCTTCACGAGCCTCCTCCACAGAGACCGATCTTGACACCGCTGGTATCAGTCATCGGCAAGTCCACTCGGCTCCACATCCTCATGTACCACATCAATCCATCTCTTCTCTAGCCCGTCCGCGCCCGTTTCACCACCTCGATCCGGCTGAACAAAAGCTGTTGAGGCATGCGGTGGCTGGGCATGCGGGCTACATGATCCAGTCAATGCAGCCTTGACTGCCGGAGGAGCTCACCAATGGGACTTTGTCCACATCTTTCAACGATTTGTGAGCTCCTCACACAATCTAGCCTGGTTAAACCCAGGATGGATCGTAGGCAGGCCAGCATAAATGTTTCTAACCGGCGAAGATGTTCTATTAGGGGGGTCCACGTTTCGCAAGCGTAGAGAAGGGAGGGAATGGCCGTGGCCGAGAAGACCTGAAGCTTTGTGCGGAGTGATAGACCAGGTAGCTTCAACACAGCGTTACGCAACCAATGAAAATATAATGCCGCTCGACTGATTCGGAGTGAGACCTCTGTTGTTAAAGCGGAGACGGTCATGAGCACACTGCCAAGGTATGGGAAGCTCTCCACTCTCTCCACAACTGCCCGATCACCAATTTGGAGATGTGGGTGTGGAGTGTTCGATGGTACAAAATACCCAGGCAGGTGCTTAGTTTTGGTGGGGCTGATGGTAACGCCCCACCTCTTGGTGGCATGCTCCAGGTTCAGCAGCAGAGCCTCCAACTCCTCCTCTGAGTGAGCAGCAATTACCCGGGCATCGATCAGCCTCCCATTGTATCCGTACCAAATGGAAATTCCTCCGGTACAGCTATTGAAGGCTTCACGAACTACGTGGTCAAAATAGATGTTAAATAATGTGGGAGCCAGAGGACATCCCTGTCGCACCCCAAGGTGTACAGGGAATAGCTCTGACTCCCGGCCACGTAGTTTTACCCAGGCCCGCTCACCATCATGAAGGTCCTTAATGATCATGAGCAGAGGGACAGGGACTCCGAAAGCATGAAGAACAACCCAGAGCCCAGGCCTACAAACACACACACACAAAGGGACACAGACACAGAGAAAAACCATCATGCAGACTCCGGTCATCCTCACAGTGGCTTTTGGCTGGCCATAGAACAAAGATGGCCACCGCATCACGTGTTTTCTGATGCAGTTTTACGGCCGTCTGGAACGCTGTCCCGATATTAGGAAGCCACTGGAGCTATGCAATTTTAAATATAGATTGAAAACTAATTTCTTTATAACTTATTTTTGTGTTTAGTAGGCTGTCTTTCCCCCGCACCTCCGATTAGCACGGTTGGCAATGTACGGTACGAAAGAAGTTCCACAGATATATAGAGACAGACACAGAGATAGAGAGGGACATTCAAAAAAAGCAGTACAGAGAGAGACACGAAACATTAATACAGAGACATAGGGAGAGAGAGACAGACAGAGAGAGATACACAGACTGAGATAGAAACAGATAGAGAGACAGAGACATAAAGAGAGATGCAGAGAGAGGGACAGTGACATACAAGTGTTGTGGCCCTAACTAACCACACGGAGACGTCTGCTGGAGGCAACGCGTTTATTGTAACAACTCTTAACACTCTGTTAAGACTACTCTGTTAAACACTACTCTGTTAAACACTACTGTAACACCCGATAGCCTAAGGGAGAGACAGCCTCCCTTCTAGCGTGTCCTACACACGCCGGGCTACGCTACACGCCGGTCCCTTGCGATGGCGGCTAGGGGAAGACTGGACCGACCGACCCACCCCGGGGTACGGGACTCGCCCTGGTCCGCTGCAACCCCGGCTCTAGCGAGAGCCTCGGGGAGGGTCCCCGGGTGCTGGTCCAGTCTTCAGGTCTTCAGATGTCTTCAAGCTTGAGTTGGCGAACACTCCCTGGCCCGTCCCGAGGGCCGGCCTTTTATCCCCAGGTCGAGGTCACCCCTCCCCTCATGAACCTTCTAGAAGGTCTTAGTAGGTCTTAATTCTTAAGGGGTTTTAGGAAGTGGTGGGGGTCCCCATCCCCCTCAGCCCCCAGCCCCTGGGGGGTCTGGGGTGTCAACCTCCGGTCACGGAGGGGCGGGGGTTTGACCTTCGGTCAACCCCTACACACCTCGCTCTCTCTCGGCTGCCCCCTGTCGGCCCATGAGCGTGGTGGCAGGTCAGCTGCCTACAGCGCCTTATTATGGCGCATTAAAGTAATGATCAGCCACAGCAGAAGTATTGGTCCTGCCGTGTTTCAGATGTGCCTTATGTTCACGAACACGGTCCGAGACATGTCGTTTGGTTTCCCCAATGTAACTGCTGCCGCAGATACAGCTTAGTTTGTAGACGCCGGGATATTGCATGTCAGGAAACTTGTCCTTCACAGATGGGATCAGGTCACGAATTTTATGTACTGTGTTAAATCGGACCTGGATCTTGTGTTTGTTCATGATTTTATAAATATTTGTGGTTACCCCTGCTATGTATGGCAGGGTGATGGTTTTGATTGGATCCTCAGATGGCTCCTTCCTCACGCTTGGGGTGAAGGCTTTGCGGATTGTTTAGTCAGAATATCCATTCGCCTTGAGAGCTTGGTGTACGTGTTTTAGTTCACTGGTTAGGTGTTCATGGTCGGAGATACACTGAGCTCTATGTGTAGCGTTTTGATGAGGGAATTCTTCTGGGATGGATGGTGGTGGGAATCAGGTTTTAGGTAGGCGTCAGTATGGGTTACTTTCCTGTAGACAGAGTGGCTCATTGAGCCATCTGGTCTCTTTTTGATTAAGACATCCAAGAAAGTTAGCATGCCATCCTTTTCTACCTCCATGGTGAATTTGATGGCTGGGTGTATGGAATTGATGTGGTTGAGCCGGTCGGCCATGTGGCCAGATGACAAACGTGTCATCCACGTACCTCTTCCACAAGGACGGGCGTAGAGTGGATGCCTGGATGGCGTCCGTCTCAGATATTTCCATGAAAATATTGGCCACAACCGGAGATAAGGGAGAACCCATTGGGTGCCTTCAGTTTTTCTTGTAAAATGATGGTGAATATGTATGTCTTAGCATTTGCTATTAAAATATGAAATAATTATTCTTTATTAGATTAAATAATTATTTTTTATTAGATACTAGCTGTACCCGGCCACGCGTTGCTGTGGCTCAGTCTGGTTAAATGGCAAAGAAAGAAAAGAGAAAGCGCACGTTTCTAAAATATTTAATTTCACAATGCTTGTGGGTATACAATAGTTTTTGTTGTTCCATTGTCTGTGTAGATATAGAGATTGTCTGGTTTGCCGACTCTAGAACACGCAACATATAATTGTCCATGTGAGAAGCAATCCGTGTCTAGATCTAAACCGCACAAT